AGAGAGAGAGAGAGAGAGAGAGTGAGCGAGCGAGCGCACAAGCAGGGGAGGGACAGATAGAGAGAGAGAATCCAAAGCAGGCTCTGTGCTGTCAGCGCAGAGCCTGACATGGGGCTCAAACTCACAAGCCATGAGATCATGACCTGAGCCAAAATCAAGAGTCAGATGCCTAACCATCTGAGCCACCCGGGCGCCACACACATATGGCCCTTTGAAATCACCAAAGCAAGCGCCAATTCCTGGTCTCAGGCACCCTGGGGGAGGGAGTGTTTCCAAGATCTCGGAGGGGAAGAAATGTTTTAGCCCTGCAGTAACTACTTCTGCTAGCAAAGAGCCGAAATGGCCACGGCATCCACCTCTGAGGCTGGGATTAATTAAGCTATGGTTCCGGCAGGGTCTGGATGCGGTTTTTAAGGGGAAATTGAGGAAATGTGTAATCAGGCATTTCATTTTTCAAAGCAGGAAAAGAGGCAATTATTTCTTACAGAAACTACCTGAGTGAAGACAGTGGAAATATAATTAGAAAAAGGAAAAAGGATAATTATGGGGTTAGAGATAATAATTGCAAAACAAAGATATTTCAGGAGAAGGTGTTCTGTTGAAATAGACCCCGCGGAATAAAGCATCAGGGATAGCAGACTCACCTGTAACACACGTTTTCGGTACACGGATTGTGCACTTTGACTATGACAAAGACGTGCTGAAAGTGAGACCGGATGCTTCGTGGAGTAAAAGGAAGTGCTCCGGGTTCTTGGAAGACAATGGTCACAATGTCATTTCCGATATGCCTTTTCCTCAGAAGCTGCGGTCAAGAAAGCGAACACACAGGGTTACCAACACGGTTTTCTGTAAAAACCCGATGTGTAGAAATACACAACTCACTCGTCTTTCCATCAAAATGAAATTTTTTTTAATGTTTATTTTTGAGCGACAGAGACAGCGTGCGAGGGGGGAGGGGCAGAGAGGGAGACACAGAATCCGACGCAGGCTCCAGGCTCTGAGCTGTCGGCACCGGAGCCTGACGCGGGGCTTGAGCCCACGAACCGTGAGATCATGACCTGAGCCGAAGTCGGATGCTTAACCGACTGAGCCCCCCCGGGCGCCCCTCATCTTTCAGTGTCAAAGCAGTGATTCGCAAAGCCAGAGTCATTCTCTGGGAGCTAGCGCTCCTCAGTATGACACAGGAAGAACAAGATAGGCTGCGTCTGGAACGTCTAGGAAAAAAAAAAAAAGGCCTAACCAAGTTATTCCTTTACCTTAAAACTCAACTCGCGTTCCCTCTCCTTTTCACCTTGGATCTTTCCTACCCTAAAATAATAGCACGTGAGAGCTCAGAAACTTTCAGGGATTTTTTAATGTTAAGTTCTTCAACTTACAGTAAGGAGACAGTCCAAGAGAGGGTAATGATTTGCTAAAAGCCCTACACCGGTGTGTTAGGGCCTTAGCCTGTGTCTCCACATGCATTTCTGCAACACTATTATTTTGGCGGCTAATATATTCACACTAATTAACTGAAATCTAACCTTTCAAATATAATTCGAAAACACAGAATTCTACCAGGTTAATGGCTGGAAAATGCAATGGGGTATAATCTTGTAAATTACAAACGTGGCAGGAGAGAAGGAACCCCAGAGCAGTAACAGACTATTGTTTTTAAGTTTCTTTATTTATTTTGAGAGAGAGAGAGACAAAATACGTAAGTGGAGGTGGGGGGGGGGGGGGAGGGGGCAGAGAGAAAAAGAGAGAGAGAGGAGGAGAGAGAGAGTCCCAAGTAGGCACAGAGCCCTATGCGGGGCTCAAACCCATGAACCGTGAGATCATGATCTGAGCCGAAACCAAGAGTCTGACACTTAACCAAACGAGTCACCCAGGAGCCCCCAGAGCAGTAACATTTTAACAGCAATTTCATTTTTGATGTTCCTTTTGCCTAGAACATTCCCTTCCACCCCCAGTTTCTCCTAGACAACTCACTTAGTTAGGGCTCTCGTTAGGTATCACCTCACCTGAAAGGAACTTTCTTGACAAGCCTACCTTGGCACGCTGCCCTGACTGATGCCCAGGCCAGTTTCTAGTACATTAGTTGCCATCGTCTGTGCTGTTGACTGACTTGTGCATCAGGTCATAATGTCCAGAAGGGCAGGAGACCTGTCTCGTAGACTTCTGATTTCCTAGTTTCTAATGGCCTGTCCGGGACATAGCCGACACCCAGTACACATTTGCTGAGTGAACAAATGGGTGATAGAGATAAGCGATCACAGCCACATAACACTCTGCAATAAAACTGGGATCACACCTTTGAATGTGTGTCGATAAATCCATACACAAAAGCCCTCTCTAAGTTTATGCAAGTAAAACCACAGCATCTGTGCTCACAAAGTTTGTGATCTTCAGTTTTAATAGATACAATAATCTTTATAGGAGTTGGTGATGTCACTGCGGGAATGAGATAATCTCAGGTAGTAAATCTCTCTTTACTAGCAATAATAAAGACAACGAGCTTGCTCTTAAATTTATTTGGCACCTATAGAACATACCTCACCGTAAAGAGCATTAAGTTCAACTCTTAAAGCCTTTGAAGCCCAGACACAAAAAGGGTTTCATTGTCAGGCCCCTGACTTGTGATTTAGCATGATAAAAGGTCTGGGAGCATGGGGACGAAACGTTCAAATGTTCCTTCTTCCTGAGTTCTCTACGTGCCAGTTAAATTACCCAGTCACATGCTGAAAAACTCCCAGTTAAATCAGCCTGGCTAAAGTCATAGGCACAAAAAAGCCCACCTTACTGTCTGGGTCAAGTATTGAAACATACACGAATATATTTTAACACAGACCCAATGGACCATCTGTAGTTTTAAAAATGTTTGCAAAGTAAGTTAAAATGTGCCATTTTGGGCGCACGTGAAAAAAATCTGTAGCAAGCTAGGTCCTACACGGTGTGTGGTTATTGACCCATACCACAGATGGACACAGACGAGAACCACAATAAGCGTTTCATGTAAGGAAAAGAAAATGGAAGGAAGGAGAACTCTCTAAACCAAACATCAATAGCTGAAAATTGCACTAGCTTAAGATGTTCTTCCCTCATCTCCACAATAACTGAAATACAGGATTCATAGGTACTATAATAGGACAAACAGGGAAATCAGGAACAAATGAAACGATTAAATAAATGATCTTAAATACCTAACATCGTGCGCACCAGATCGGCTGAATGTGACACACAACAGCTGACACCATACTTTTAAAACATTTTTTTTCTAAGTTTATTCATTTATCTAGAGAGAGAGAGAGAGAGAACTGGGGGAGGGGCAGAGAGAGAGAAAAGGAGAGAGAGAGAATCCCAAGCAGGCTCTGAGCTCCACAGAGCCCGATATGGGGCTCAAACTCACATACTGGGAAGTCATGACCAGAGCTGAAACCGAGAGTCGGGTGCTCAACCGACTGAGCCACCCGGCGCCCCAGCTCACACCATACTTTACTCGATATCCTTGAAACACAAGAGTTCTCAGATTGACAGAAAGATGGCGGTCACGATGGCCAAGGCCACACAGTGAATTCTGTAGCCCGTCTGCCTGTGGGGCTGCTGTGTTGAATTTGACCTTGGCCAGCCCTCTCAAATTAATCAGGTACGAACTCATTAGTCGGTGCCTCCTCGCTCTGCTGCGGGAGCAACAGCAAACTGGACAGCTACTCCCGTCCAAGCAAAGGGAAGACTGGGTCCAATTCTACACTTCACACCACAGGAACACGGAAAGCCCAACTTCAGGGCTGGTTCCCTTGACAACACGTCCCTTCCTAAGCACATTCTTTGGCTCTGTAACAGGGCCAAAAATGTTTTCAAAGTCTAGTTAAGGGGCGCCTGGGTAGCTCAGTCGGTTAAGCGTCCGGCTTTGGCTGAGGTCATGATCTCGCGGTTTGTGAGTTCGAGCCCCGCGTCGGGCTCTGTGCTGACGGCTCACAGCCTGGAGCCTGCTTTGGATTCTGTGTCTCCCTCTCTCTCTCTGCCCCTCCTCTGCTCGCACTCTGTTTCTCGCTCTCAAAAATAAATAAACATTAAAAAAAAA